GTGGGTATTTATAGAGAATGGGGACTTGAAACCCCTTTTCATGATCAATGTGGGATCATGTGCAATTGCAATAATTTATTTAATTCTAAAATAAATAATTATGCAAAACAATCACAAGCCAACAAGTGGCAAAAGGAGAGAATGGGTTAGGTGATGACCATATCCCATGGGGGGGGGATCATTGCCTTGCTCCCCAAGGGAAGCTTGGTGGCTTTGGTCCCCACTTCCCCTTCAAACCGCCATTTGCAAGGCAGCTAGGCTGGCTGCCATCTGGCGCTGCCAGCACGCTCAGCCAGCTAGCTTGCTTGGCTGGCGCACCACGCATCACCCAGCCAATCTGCCCAGCGCCACTATCACACGCACAGCATGCATCGCCCAGCTAGCACTTGCTGGGAATTGCTGGCGCTGGTGCCTTGCTACCGCAGGCATACGCGCACACATATGCGTGATGCTGCCTTCTTGCTATCGCAGGCACACACACACGCATATGCGTGGTGCTGCCTTGCCATCGCATGCACAGCCATGCATCGCCCAGCTAGTGCTTGCTGGGCATCGCTGATGCTGGCCCTCGCATCCCACGCATTGGCTGGTCGCACATGCCTTGCTTCACGCACCAGCCATGCGCCACGCACCACGCACATACTCGCGTCCCTCGCTGCACCTCACGCATTGCCAGCCCACATGCATCAATGCGCCTGTGGTGCGAGGCTGCTTGTGCGAGGCCTAGCATCACGCTGGCGCGCAGCCTCTTGCATGTGCTGCGATGCTTGGTGCTGCCATGCGAAGGCTAGCACACAAGCATATGCACATGGCGCGCCATTTCCAGGCAGCCAACCATGCCAGCACTTGGTTCTTGCGATGGTGCTGCCAAGCCGGGCACGCACGCACGCAACACCTAGTGCTTGCCACGGTGCGCCTAGTGCGGCCATTGCCTGCGATAGGGCACCATATGCACCCAGGCACCACGCTAGCATGCTGCTAGCTGCCATGGGCTGCCTGGTGCCTATGTGGCTTGCGATGGCTGCCATGCGCACCCAGGAACCCATGCTAGCATGTTGCTAGCTTGCGATGGGCTGCCAGGGCGCGCCTAGGCTGCGATGGTGCCTAGCACACCATGGTGCGCCTAGCACACACATGGTGCACCTAGGCTTGCTATGAGCTAGCCTAGCCTAGCTACGGCTACGCTCATACTTGTTGCTTGTGATTTTGCGACGCTCGGTATCGACGCCCTAGGCTCGATTTCCGACGTCTGTTTTCGTAAAACTCTGTCGACTCATTAAATCCTTTCGGATAAATTCGACGTCTCGGATCGGAGATTCGATTGGGTTCGACCCGAAGGGTTCAGTTAAGATTAAGCTGTAATATCAATTGTACCTCGATATTACTGATCGGAAGCGGCCTCCACCTAGGCATTCCGATCACTTGACCTTACTGAAGAACTAGCTCTATAATAATTTTGAACCCTCTATCGGAATAATACACTTGTTGGAAGGACACCATTCCTTTCAAGAGCTGACTGGGCTTCCCTTGGGAATTGGGCCTAGGTGGCCATTTGGCCTAGTTGGCATACCGAGGCCACGTGGCGTGACTCAACTGGTCCGAGGTGGACTAATTATCGCCTGACACGTGGCAGGCCCCAACTGGTCCATGTGGCGGACACATGGCAGGACCCAAATGGTCCACGTGTCAGATGATGATTGGTTGGGGAAAAATCCCCTAATCACCTTGGATTCGTACCACTTTTTTATTTCATTTAAAAGATCTAGATCTACAACTGGTGACTTTTGTTCGCGACTTTTTTTTAGTTTTTCTACTCTTCTTTGAATAGGTTGATCTTCATCATCTCTGTTTTTAACCAATTTGTTAATGTTTTTGCTAATAATCCATTATTTAACTAACAATTATACATTTTCTTTGAAACGAAACTTACATTTCTTCAGAATCTGTCTTCTCCGACAGAATCTTCTCCGAAGTGTTCATTTCCGAAGTGTTCTTCTTCGAAGTGCATGTTCTTCTCTGTTTCGATTCTACAAAAATACCACCAAATATAGTAGATTTTAGTCAATTTTGCACAAAAATAAGTTTAATTATAGTAGATTATGTTTTAGAACATCAAAACGCAAATTAGAATTTAAAATCTAGGGTTTACACTCAAAAGTCTACTAAAATGGATAATTCTTACTCTTCTTTCTCGGAATCTAGTTGCGCTTGAAGAACTTCATCGCGAATGTCAGACACTTTTAGTAGTTTCGATGCAATTTGCAGTAATTTTGAAGCAATTTGTAGTGATTTTGTTGCGAGTTTTTGGTTTTGAAGAAAGAGAAATCGACGAAGAAATTGTTCTGGGAATGAAAATGGTGGTTTTGAATTTATTTATTTATTTATTTTTGTATATATAAGTGGGGTAGGGGGGGTTATTTTCACTTACCGTGGTTAGTTAAAGTTACCGCAGGTAACTGTGTGGTTAGTGGGGGGGTGTGGGTAAGGGGTATATGGTAATTTCAGGGGGGTAGGGAGTTATGGCTAAAGGGGGTGTAGCCATTAGGAATTAGTTCAAATGTTTAGTCAAAGCATAGTCCAACCCTCATTTTAGCCCAAACCCTTTTTAATTCGTTTCATTTTATTTACTAATTTAGCCCGATTAATAAATATTAAAACCCTAAGCCAGAAATAAGTCCAGAATACTGAAACGGCGCCTAATTATCACGTGCTTAAATGTTAAACAAAAAGATAGAAATGAATTTGGACAGAATTCCAGAAAAGGGATTTGTCGTGTCACGGCAGAAATGCCGCGCTACGGCAGTCTCTGCCGTGTCACGGCAAACGACTGCACCAAATCACGACAATTTCTGCCATGACGCGGCAATCTTCTAGGGTTTTGTTTCACGGCGCCTTCATTTCTACGGTTCTGTACCTCACCCCTCACATTTCCTCTATAAATACGAGGCTCATTTCTCAGTTTCAGGGCACTAAATAACACACACACTCTCTCTCTATCTCTCTCTATCTCTCTCCCCTATGCTATAGCCTAAATACTTGCCTTCCTTATTCCTTCACAATACATTCCCTAAGCACTCCCCAGAGTCCGTACAACACCCGAAGTTCAGTACTTAAACCGAGGCGTGAAAGGTAGAACCGATTGAGGGTTTGAACCAAATCAACTCTACTTTAATTTAATTTAATTTAATTTCAATTTGATTTATATTTATTGAAGTTACTAACAATCTATTCATGATGTAGCAATGATGTAGCAATTTAAAGAAGCGCGGAACGTGAGTAATTCATTCAATTACTTACTATTGTTATTTTTATTGCTAGTATCATGATTAGGGTTATTATTATGATTTGATTTGACTAACGTTATTATGGTTAAATTGCTTCCAATGTTGATGTTGATTGTATTATATTTATTGATCACCATATTGCATGTTTAAAGGGAATATGTAATTGAATATAACGCCTGATAAGATAATTTGGAGAACCGGTTTAGGTTCCTCTTTAATCTTATTTGTTTAATCAAGTATCACAATATTTTTAGAATTATATGTTGCATTAACATTCACTAATTTAGCTTAATAATAGTTTGGAGCAAATTGAATTTTTGTTTGTATGCCTTTGAGATTGCAGGAATCACTTTTCACCATAAGAATCGAGTAGATGCCAATACAGGCGAATGTGACTCAATGACTCACTTCGTACCATCATCCCCGATCCTCCTTTCGTGGTTCTGAACCATATGGAGTTAGTAATCTCAAAGATTATGAATAGGGTGTAACCTTCACGGGTCAATCGTTGTTACCTATCGTTGTCCCTTATTCGTGGTTGCCTTTTAATGATCCGTGACGGTTTACAAGTTCCTTAAAAACTTGTTGGCGGCTCCCTACTTTGCTTTGTCCCTAATCGTTGTCCCTAATCGTATATATCAATTTCCACTTCCTATAAATGCCGAGCATATTCATAACATGCTTAAATAGGCGCTTCGAATGACGCGTACAATAACCAAGTTGATTTTTTTTTTTTAACTCAAACAAAGGAATATATACTTGTTTATCCAAGTTCAAGACCTCTTGTTATGAACATTAGGTTTTTTTTTTCTTTTTTTCTTTTCTTTTCTTTTTTTTCATTTTAAAAGAATAAAAACAAATTAAAAACAGGACTTGGTTTGTTCTTGTAAAAGCATGTCAATCGATTTGTTATTTAGATATTAATTACTCAATTTTTTATCAATTTGAAAATTACTCGAGGATGTTAATTTAAATCAAAAGGATTAATTTTAAGATTTTCATTTGTCAAAAGCACTAATCTTGTTTATGAGAGAGTGAGAGACGTTTGTTTATGAAACAAGCTCATTTATTAACCCAATCCTATATATGACATTATGAGTTTATGACCTTTGTTCAGTGAAAAAATGAGTTATTTACAAGTTGCTTACTAACATTAAATAGTAGACAAATCGAATTTTAATAGACTTTTTGAGGTCACACTGATCTGAAAAAAAAAAGGAGGTAACACTACATAATGTTGAAGCAACTAATGCAATGCAAAATTACTCTCTGTGCCATGAAGGTTTTAGTCCTTCATCTACTCTCCTACCTTTGCTCGCCTAGCCATTGTCCCCTCCTATGGTATGCATCAAAATTAACTCAGATAATCAGATGCACATGTGAGAGTATATGGGGCTGGGTGTGGGTGCAACTAGCAAGATAGAAGGGTGAATTGTTGGAAGCTGCTGCATTGATCATACTGCGGAAGAGGATATTGCAGAAGCGGGTGCAGCAACTCAGCAAGGTATGGTTAGGAATTGGCAAGATGGGCTTTTAAGATTGATACAAGTGACTTAATTCATGTATTTAATGAAATTAAACAAGGGGCTGATATATAGTTCTCCCATCCACTTGATCTTGGAAGACATTGGCAAAGATAGATGTTTTTCTACTTTTCGATTGTTTTCATGTTGAAACTGGAAGATCGAAGATACACATACATTGTTGAATAACAAGTTGAAACTTCAAAAGGAAAGGTGCACTAACAATATTAAGCTAAAAACCTTCAACCAGCTGATTTCTAATCATTACTCAGACACAAGTATTAGTTCCAGCACAAAGATGGTAGATATAAAAATTCCCTTGCTATTAGGTTGTACTTCAAAAAACGAAGTCACTCAAAAAATTTTAAAATCTTGAATTTTAAAACAAATTAACCAGAGGGAACAAAATCATGAATCCTAACATCTTATGCGGCCTGTTTCTTCAACTTAGCAAGCTCCTGCCTCACAGAACCAGCTTTCTGCAGGAGTCAAAATAGAAGGGATGAATCAGCACCATAATAGACAACATGACAATTGAATTAACAACTATAGAAATAGCATGTCGATATCTGATGAAATGAACCGTAGAAAAAAAAAAAGTAATAGGTGCAATATGCAATTCAGAGCAACAAAGCACAACCCAGAACAAGGCAGCTACTCATCATCAGAAATAACAAGCAAATGAGGAAAACAACACTAAAAGAAACATCTGAATTTTCTTTAGCAAAAAAAATACTGCTCAACAACTTTTATAGGTTTATTTTCATTAAAAAAAAAAAAAAAAAAAACCTGGCCCAATAATCAAAGTGTTTAACTAGGAACTGCAGAACAAGCAGAGGAAAAAACAATGCTAAAATCAACATGCGAAAACATAATAATGTTCCTTGGCAAACACTGCTCAACGTCTTCAAAGCTTACTTTTCACAAAAATATCCCCAAAAATCAAAGTGTTTAACAAGGAGCCTCAGAAAAAAGTACTACTGAACAACCAGAGCAATATTGTAGGGACAAAATGAAGTTTGGACCAATAAAAATGAAGACAATTAATACAAACACAAACCTTAATCTTAGCCAACATGATCTTGAATCTGTCGAAGTCGTTAAGACCAGCTCTTCTCTTTTGGACAATCAGCTTCCTACCCCATGAGCTGTTCTCCCACTTGTTCTTAACATCTGCACCATCATTGCAATTCAATTATAATGCACACAGAAGACAAATATGCTAAAAGAACAATACGATATAAAAGAAACCCTACCAGCAGCCTCCATGGCTTCGACGAGGGCTTTCTTCTTTGGTGACTTCTCAATCTCAACCTTAATATCAGTCAAGGAGAGCCTCTTCAAGTTCATTTGACCTCTGACCATATTGGGAGCATCAACTAGAACCTAAAATGTAATTTTGGACAATTAGATGCAAACAAAACTCGTGCTCCACTCAACCAAAACTAACAAATTATAATTTAGCATAGCAATCGAACACGAAATTAACGTCGAGAAATGTCTAGCATGCAGGAGTCCAATCAAGAATAAATTGTGCGTAACTGAAGGCTCGTACTCGGGTATAGGATTTGGATACGAGTCCATGTGACATCCCAAACCATTCAACAAACAAAGGTTCCATTGAAATATCAAATATCTATACTATATACCCATATAATGATATAAGGGTGTCAAAAACCCGGATAACTCAAGGTTAAATACACAAGTCAAGCTAGTAACGCAGCCAAAGAGAAAAAGCCTACATACTTTCATAATTCACATAAAGTTCTCAAATTTACTCATTATGAATAAGATAGAAGTCCATAATTCCATTTTTTTTTTTTGACAGGGGTCCATAATTCCATGAAAACAAGCAAATAATACAAGATTTGAGCTTGTTTTCCAATTCACAACGACCATAAAAACACAAATGCAGGTAAATTAATTGAAGCAGAATTGAAACAAAATCATCAGCTCATCAATAAAATTACAAACAAACATATATCCCAGAACTAAACCCTAACCAAATTTCAACTCAAAAACTGCAAATAAATCCTAAATCTAACCGATTCAAAGCAATCAATCATAACTTAACAGTTCAGAAAAGCATAATAGAAGATGAAATTTGAATTTCTATAACAATTGAAATGAAAAAAGATAAAGGAAAATACCCTGTTCTGGTCAAGAACATCGACAATGACGACAAGACGGCCATACTCTTTGCCGTAGTTGACAAGAGCTACTCTTCCGATCTCCACGTACCTCTTGAAAGGCTACATCAAATTAATTCATCAAATTATTTGATTTGATTGTTACAAATTCGTATAAAATATAAGAAGGAAGTAAAATTTCCATGGAAAATAGAGGAGAGAGAGATTACCATTTTCGAAGTGCGAAGGTTTTTGGTATCCCTGGAAGTGGAGTGGAGAGAGGAGGATGAAGGAGGCAGCTGACAATTATCAATATGTTTGGCTAGGGTTTTATTAGGTCATTTGGGTTTGGGTTTGGGTTGGGGTTGGGTGTGGATTTTTTTTTTTTTATTTAAAAAAAAAATTCCTATTATTACTGTCTTCTAAAAAGTCCTAGATAAGTGCCCGTGCGATAAACGATACTAATAATCTTTTCCTATAATTAATTGTAAAATAATACAAAACAACTTATGCGGAACAAACAAATGCAATGCATATAGAAAAATAAAAGAATATTTTCTCAAAAAAAAAGGCAAAATTATTAAAACTACAATTGAGAGAAGAGGAAAAAAAAAAAAAAAATTATTGTTGATTATAGTTATGTTGAAAATATTTAAAAGTAGTATACATTATATTACACTAATGATGTATATTATTTCTCAATAAAACTATACAATCTAGTGACTATGTGACTAAAGTCTTATTTATAAATGCTTTTTAATAAACATGAAAATATTAATCAAACAATAAAATAAAATCTACAGTAAAACTATTAGCACAACATACATTTAAATACATAAATTACAAATAATATATCACTTTTTATATCCAATAAAATAATTTCAATGGAAATAAATACTACTCGGATCATTAAAGGCAATTATAATCCACAATTAGGTAGCACTAACCTATATTATTAATAGTACATTTTCATTTTATGAATTGATTCTCTACATGATATCATCGCTCTTTGTTATTATATAAAAATGTGTTTGGTATCCAATAATTATAGTTTGATCATTATTTGTTTATTAGTTTAAAATTTTATTTGTAGATGATAACTATTTATAGAAAAAAAAAAAAAAAAAAAAAAAAAGGATACGTGTCTATAATTCAGCAAACGATAATAATTTTTTCGTATTTACTAAGATATTAATGTAACAAAAAAATTGATTGATATTTCACATTTTCCTAGATATAGACCTATGATATAGTTGTGTTTTATAGTCATATCTAATACTTCATTAGTCTAAGAAACAACATATTAGAGGTATTTAGTAAAAAATTAAAGTGATGTTTTAAAGTAGTTTCTTTAATATCAATTATATGAATCAATTTTATTATTACTTTTTGAGAAAAATTCAATAATACTCCGTCTATAAGGTGTCTAGGTGGTAATTGTAGTTTCTGGTACCTAAGTGGCTTACTTTTTCTATATTTAAAAAAAAGTTGGAATAACATTTTTGGTAAATGTGTATGGAAAAATTAAGAACACAAAATAAATAAATAAATAAATTTTATGTAAAGATAATATACTGCCTCCGTTTCATATTATTTGCAACGTTTTGACATAAAGTAGAGAGGAAAAATGTCTAATCGTTGCAAATAATATGAAACGGAGATAGTATTAGATTTGGAATAATTTTTATTATAGTTGTATTATACAAATATTCCAAAAATAAAAGATTTTTATTATGTAAAAATAAAAGATTTTTTTGCTAAAAGGGGAGGGGAGTTTTGGAGGGAAAATACAGCACCAGGAAGTGACACGTGTCATTCCTGGTGTGTGTTTTACTATTATGTTATTGATTTCGTATGAGATAACCCTCTTATTAATAGTGTTTGGACAATTATACCCTCTAAAATGTTTATTTACTTAATTACCCCTATTAATGTTAATTAGCTCTTTTTTAAAACTACTAAGATTAGTGTGTGGAAACAAGACAAAATAGGAAAAATTGCCAAAAATAATACAATCTTTGCACCATCCTTTTTAAATAATACAAACTTTGGATTATACATGAATATTACATCCTTTGGGGGGTCTCAACTTTAAACAAGACAAAAAACTTGTAACCTATTAAATAGGTTACTCATTACACGTGTAGTCATGTAATTGGTCTAAATATTAAATTTTTTAAGAAAATAAATAATTTTATATTTTTAATTTTTGATAAAATTGTTTAACATTTAATTAACTTCTAATTAAGTCATTAATTATGACTTATTTTTTAACAAATTAAAAAAAAAAAATTAAAACCCCACCACCACCCACCCACCACTTTCCCCACCATGCAGTCACCTTCTCTCCTCTCTCCTCCCCCACACACAGCCCTCCCCGGCGAAAGTACGAGTGACATTTTCATCAAAGATAACATGCCTAGATATGATGACTTTGCGAGATTTCAGATCGAAACATCTATAACCTCGATGAGATGTTAGATACCTAAGGAAAATGCAAGGAGTAGAACGAGGACTCGTCTTATTCGGTGAGATGGCAGATAAATTCGGATAGCATAGACATCCGAAAGTACAAAGATGAATATAAGAAGGAGCTTTATTAAAGAGAATATGCACTGGAGTAAGATAGTTTAAGAGATAGTGGAACAAATATTTAATAAATACATGGCCACATGTAGGGACTCAACCTAAAAGGAAGGAGGAAGAGAAGCATAAGATAAAAGAGAACGACAAATATTATTAATGGTCGAATCATACGTTCGGCTTTACCGTTTTGAGGTGATGTATTTGGACAAGAATGTCTTCAAATGATGCCATTATTTAGAGAGAAAAGAGTGAACTTATCATTATCGTATTCACGACCATTGTCACATTGTACAGTTTTAATTGACATCCCAAATTGAGTTTTAACATATGAATAAAAACTCAAAAAAGTATAATACACACTTGATTTGAACTTTAGAAGAAAAACCCATAAATAATGAGAATAATCATCAAGGAAAAGCAAGTAATAACGAAAACCAGATTCACTATTAACGGGATAAGTGAACTAATCAATGTGAATAATATCAAATGGAGCATAAGTCGTAGTATGAGAATCAGAAAAAGGAAGACGACAATGTTTTCCTAGTTGACAACCATAGCACACAGATGGTAAACGCCCTTTATTACAAGAGATAATACTATTATTCCTAAGATTATTAAGAACTTGATCTCCGGAATGTCCCAAACAATTATACAATACTTTAGGTGACAATGTAGCAAAAACAGAAGGAGTAGACACATATGTAATATCCTGGAAATCTCCTCCTGTTTAAAATACTCTTTTTACTCTAAATAAAACTCATTTTAGGAAATAACCAAAATATTACCGCCACCGTGATAACGATTAATGCTATTTTCAAAGTCACAGAGCGGAAGTCTAACTTAATAACCAACTTTTCAAAATAAATAAGTTGAGTTCACAACCTTAAAACATAAGTAAAATAAAACATCCACAAGTTGGAACCAATACCAACATGGTCCTTCAAAAACCAATTTAAAATAAAACTTAATAATGTTATTCCATAAATAATAAATCAACAATTCAAAATATAAAACTAATTAAGAAAGCATAACAGATAACTCTATGCACTCATTCCCTTCATGCTCCTTATGCTTCAATACCCGTTACTTTCTCTTTATTTCAATCCCTCTACTCACCATATAAATGGGTCATAGTAGGACTAATCCAAAGGAAAGCCAAACACAAACACAAAATTACGAATCAGCAAAAGCTGAGTACATATGCACCACACTAACATGATCATCCTAACAATAATAAATAAAACATGATTGCCATACAATTCACAAGTCAACTTACCATTGACTCATAACTAACAATATTAATTATTAATAAGCAGCTTTGGATTACGCATCGAACGGGTTTCCTTCCTTATTAATCCCTTAATAATAAGGGACCCCTCACTTGGGAGCTAACCAAGGGAGTACCAACTAGTGTCACCTTGTGATGGAATAATAATAATAATAATAATAATAATAATAATAATAATAATAATAATAATAACTAGTGTCACCTTGCGGTTGCATTGCTGAAGGATCTAGAAGTTCTCAAAGACTCAAGACATTGGGGCACGTGTTGCTGCTCATATCTTCACTAGAATAGGATTTGCTATACCTAGAGGAGTGGGGGCCCAGATTGTATCTCGGCTTCCCACTAATTTTTTGTAGGTTGTATGACTTTGTCTTTTTTGAGATGATAATAATAATAATAATAATAATAATAATAATAATAATAATAATAATAATAATAAAACGTCCTGTACCCCTGTAGAAGTTATGGTTAAATATAAAACCTCATAACCCCTCCATGTGTTCATACTCTAGGTGTATACGTTCCAAGAGTTTTGGTGTGTATCCTCTTACACTTTACGTGATTTACCAATTTAACTTATGATGACTCCAACCAATCAATCAAGAACAATCATAACAATAACCAACACATATTTTCATTTCATTCTTGAATTAATTAGTGAGCACATACTATTTATTTTAATTAAGGTTCCTTGCCTAGTTTTGTGCACAAAATTGCACTATTACTACCTTGGTGCATAAGATGCACCAATAAACTTTCTTGACTCAATCTCAACTTACATGAGTGAGTAAATAAATAAACTAACTTCTTGACTCAACTCCAATAATATATGGGTGAGAAATAAAATCATGAATCATGTTCAATTATTCTAACTTTAGCTCTTTTAAACATACATAAGTCTTGCTTATTAAATTCATGTTTATTTGATAATTAAAAATTAAACATACTTCCATGATTCACACATATTCAACTTGTATCATGCCTCAAATAACATATTCACATGCTTGCATAAAATGTATAATCAATTATCATCCAATCTAAGCATTTAATCAACCAAACATGCTACTAATTCATCACTTGAAACATACTTTACATTCCTAGCATGATACTACACATACACAAATATTTCTATGCGCATATGTACCTTGAATAATGTCTGAACTCGGCCATACTCGCTAGAAATCACCTAGCTCAAAACTTCCTACAAATAAAAATACATAATCATAATTAATCCACTATTCTCACAAACTTTCAGCAATTATAATATACTTTAAACCTCACTAATTAACCCAATTTAATGGCTTAAAAGCCTTAAAACCTTTTCTTTAAGTGGGTACTTAAAATCCTTTAAAAAAGACTTAGTTTTCATGATTTAAATAAAATTCTAGCACACTTATTTAATATAAAACATCACTAATCAACTAGAAGATCATATTTAAATCATCAATAACCTTTTTTTCCTTTTATAGGTAATCAAACCACAACATGTATAGTTCTTAGGTTTCC